TCAAGGGTTCCAGGTTCAATTCCGCTCAAGGGCATGTACCTTGGTTGCAGGCACATCCCCAGTGGCGAGTGTGCAGGAGGCAGCTGATTGGTTTCTCTCTCATCGATATTTCTAACTCTCTATCCCTCTCCCTTCCTCTCTGTAAAAAATCAATAAAATATATTTTTTAAAAACTTTTAAATGTAATATTTCAAAAGTATATTTTAAAAAAATAGAGTAAATAGTATAACGAATCCTTACTTAGCCATCACCCAGATGAAACAGTTGTTAATTTCATATGTACCCTTACCTACTTCCTCATCTTCCCCTGATTTATTCTGAAGCTACTTTCCATATCTAAGATTTCACATGTAAATATTTTCAGCATATAAACCTCATTTTTAAAAATATTTTTTATTGATTTTTATACAGAGAGGAAGGGAGAGAAATAGAGAGTTAGAAACATCGATGAGAGAGATACATCGATCAGCTGCCTCCTGTACACCTCCTACTGGGGATGTGCCCGCAACCAAGGTACATGCCCTTGACCGGAATCGAAACTGGGACCTTTCAGACCCAGGCCGACGCTCTATCCACTGAGCCAAACCAGTCAGGGCACAACCCTCATTTTTAATGACTGTAAAATAGCCACTGATCAGGGGAGAGAAAACAAAACATCCTTAATCATTCCTTTAATTGTTAGATATTTTGTTTTTTCTAATTCTTCACTATTATAAACAACACTGTATTTATATTCTCTTACATGGTTATTTTTCCCTTAATTTGGGCAATATCCTTAGAATAGGTTCCCAGACAGAAAATCCCTAAGTCAAAGTGTATAAACATTATTATGGCTCTGGATTATTATTTCCAAGTATATTTTAACTGTGTTCTACCAATTTATGAAGCCACTACTAATGTCCCCTAATATTGCACCATGTTCATCGTTAAGTATTTCCACTAAAAGATTGCTACTGAATAGAAGGAACAACAATATTTCATTCTTGTTAAGCAAAACAGTGAAGAAGGAAAAAGCCTGTTTTGATGCCAACAAGGCATAAAGGTGTTTCCAGTGCCAAGCAAGGTATTGTCCTTGGACAGGAAGTAGGTTTGATTGGCGAGAAGAGCACCTAGGACTCTTTGCCTGCTTCTCCTTTGCTCAGCCCACTCTCCCTATCTCTTTTCTACCTGCTTCTCTAATCTTTGAAGGATCAGTCTGGCCAACTTAGGCAGAGTAACAACTGCCAGAAAACAAGGCAAGAGATGAAACTAGAAAATCTCAAAGGTCACCTTGAGCTAAATGACTCTATAACTTGCGTTTTTATCAAGACAGCCTTAAAGCAACTGTGGTAGGCAGTTAGACCTGAGCAGAGCAAGGACTATGGGCCAGGTACAGGAGGTCACTAGAGGGAAAAGCCTTGGGTGCCTAGAAAATGACAATTGTAGGGTGACACCTCACCCCCAGGGTGACATTTCCTCCCTCTAGCACAGTGGTTCTCAACCTTTTGGCCCTTTAAATACAGTTCCTCATGTTGTGACCCAACCATAACATTATTTTCATTGCTACTTCATAACTGTAATATTGTTACTGTTATGAATCGTAATGTAAATATCTGATATGCAGGATGATCTTACGCGACCCCTGTGAAA